CCCCCCCCCTCCCCACACCGACGTTGTAAAGCTCGTTTTGGACATGACAACTTGTACTTCTCATTGTTGCATCAGATCCACCTGTATCCGTAAGACTCTTATCTCCAACAAACCACTCAGAAAACCATTAGTGGCACTGTGGCTCAAGTGGTAGAGCGCATCTTGAGCTGAGGGACAGCACCCAAGCCCAGAGTTCAAGCCCCACAACCAACCAACCAACAACAAAAAAAAAGCTCCACAGGTTGAGTAATGGTTCTAGTGCTTTTTTTTTCTTTTTTAAACAGAGGTGTGTGTGTGTGTGTGTGTGTGTGTCTTGGTTGTAGGGCCTGAACTCTGGGCTTGTGTGTGTATGTGTGTGTGTGTGTGTGTGTGTCTTGGTTGTAGGGCCTGAACTCTGGGCTTGGGTGCTGTCCCTCGATTCTTCAGCTCAAGGCTAGTGCTCTACCACTTGAGCCACAGCGCTACTTCCGGCTTATTTCGGTTTATGTGGTGCTGAGGAACTGTACCCAGGGCCTCATGCATACAAGGCAAGCACTCCGAGCCACCTTCCCAGTCCACAAAGGTTCTTTTTAAGACATGGTCTCAATATGCATCTCAGGCTAGCCTTGAATTCAAAGATTCTCCTGCCTCAACCTTTGAAGTTCTGATATTATAGGCACTGCATCACCATATCTGGTCCTGTAAATATTTTTATTGGACCAAAAGTCACATCCATTTTTTAAAAAATTGTATTGCTACAACATTAGAGATGAATACTGGTTGAGGATTGAACCCTGGGTCTTGGACATGCTAAGCATCCATTCTTAACACTGAACATATCCAACCTGGTATTAACATTTCCTTAGAGAGTGTCTTCTCACTAAGCTTTTTTGTTCATGGCTGGAGCTCTACCATTTGAACCACACCTCCACTTCCTGACTTTTCACTGGCTAAATGGAAGTAAGAGTCTCTCAAAGCTGAATGCTGGTGGCTCAAGCCTATAATCCTAGCTACTCAGCAAGCTGAGATCTTAGGATCACAGTTCAAAGCCACCCCAGACAGGAAAGTCTGTGAGACTCTTTATCTCTAATTACCAAAAAGCTGGAAGTGGGGCTGTGGCTCAAGTGGTAGAGAACTAACCTTGAGCACACAAAAGCTCAGGGATATCCTAGAGTGCCTAAGTTCAAGCTCCAGGACTAGCACAGGGGAAAAAAAAATTCAGATTTGTTGGACTGGGCTGGGTACAAATTTCAATCCTCAGATCTCAGGCTTCTGAGTAGTTAGGATGATAGGTATGAGCCACTGGTGCCAGATGGATATATATTCTTTTTTTTTTTTGGCCACTCCTGGGGCTTGAACTCAGGGCCTGAGCACTGCCCTTAGTGTCTTTTGCACTTTACCACTTGAGCCACAACGCCATGTCCAACCTTTTCTGTTTATGTGGTACTAAGGAATCAAACCCAGGGCATGCTAGGCAAGCACTCTACCCTGGATATACATTCTTACAGGGTCCTAGTAAAAGTACTCAACCTACTTGGAAACTCTATTAGTAATTTCTAGGGGCTATTACCGGGACATTAGTGCTCCTTTCTCCTGTGTGAGGCACTTGAGCAAATGGTTCTTGCGTTCATCTAACCCTAAAGAGGATTGGTAAAATAAACAATTACTTTTGTTGGGACTTCATCACTATTAATCAGCTTTCAAGTAGGAAATAAAATGCAAATAGTGATTTGCATTTTATTTTATTTATTTGCATCAGGTGCTGGTGGCTCATGCTTGTAATCCTAGCTACTTAGGAGGCTGACATCTGAGGATTGTGGTTTGAAGCCAGCCTAGGCAGTAAAGTCTGAGACTCCTCTTCAGTTTAGCACCAAAAGGCCAGAAGTAGAGCTTTGGCACCAGAGGTACAGCATTAGCCTTGAGCAAAATAACTCAGATCCTGAGTTCAATCCCTAGGACGCACACATGCATGCGTGCGCGCGTGCGCGCACACACACACACACAGAGCTTGTTACAGGTCACCCCATGGTGGACATGGTGTGACAGCAAAATATTTGCTTGGATTGAAACTTTCATCTCCCATGATGGCTAGATCTTCTAATAACTTCTTAGGGTCCGACCAAAGGGCGCCTAAGCAATGTCTCTTAGGAATTACTTTTGGAATTACTTAGGAATTAAATTTACCTGCTTTCAGGTGTGATGATGTATGAAGATACACTTCCTTCTGTAACACTATAGGGAACAAAGACAAATGTTAGCCATTTCTGAAAGAGAAAGAGGAAAGTTATTTACCTCCAGTCTCCTACTGTCCTTCCATAGTTAGGCTACAGTTATAGTTAAAGGGTCCTGTATCCAATTCCAAGGACAGAAGAAAGCTCAACTTCCTTTATTTTTAGTTGCTGACATTTGCAGTCCTGATTACATAATAAGCAAACTCATGGCCAAATCAGCTTTATCTAAATTCAAGACAGGGGTGAAACTTGTTATAGACTGAATTTTGGGAAGGACATACTCCAAATGTACATTTCCAGTCTGGATCTCTCCTAAGATCTCATCTCTGCTGTCTACTGTCAGTTTTCCATCTTCTTTTGGATATCTACAGCCCTTTAGATTATGCCAAAAAGTCAGATATTTCTCTTCCAAGGGTATCCCTGTCTCACTAAATTGGAAATTGTAGTTTCTTAAGTTAAAAACCTTGGTATCATTCTTGATTCTTCCCAGCTTATACCCCACAACTCAATCCAGAGTAGCTCCCTTTTAAAAAATACTGAGAACCTAAACATTCTTTCCAATTCTATTGTTTCCAAGTGTAGCTCAATTTATCATCATTTCTCCTGAATTCCTTTGGAATTCTTGCAGAATTGTTTGCTTTTGTTACCTACCCCACATGACCTAAGTTGAATACTAAAGTCAAAGTGAGCCTGCCTCTCCCCCCCTCCCCCTGCACTTTTTTATGTTCTTTGCCAAGCTGGTGCTTGATCTCAGGGCCTTTAAGCACTCTACTATGGAACTTACCACAGCCCTTTTAATATTGGGCATTCCTTTCCTCAAAACCCTCATGACTTCCTACTTCATACATATTAAAGACTAACATCCTCAAAATGGCTTCCAAGGATCTACACAATCTGCTTCTTCCCTGCCTGGGTTTTCACCATTCTCCCAACTTACTAGTCCAGTCCACTGGTATGTTCCCAAAGATACCAGACATGCTTCAGTCTTATGCCTTTTGGCTTAGCTCTTCTACATGATCTTCATAACTTACTGGATTACCTCTCTGCGTTTTTCATTTAAATATCACCTTAGTGAGGTAATTTCTGCACAAGTGATAAACCACATCCTGAACATTCTTTTCCTGCTTTAGTTTTCTCCTTGGCCCTATTGAAATGCAAGCTTTTGAGAGCAGAGATATTTTTTTCAATCTTTAGAATGTAGTCTGGACCCCAAACCTTGCGGTACATAGTAGGTGCATATTAAGTATTTATTAAAATGAATGGAGGGTTGGGATGTAGCTCAGTGGCAAAGCACTTGCCTAGCAAGTGCAAGGTCCTGAGCTCAATCCCCAGATCTAAGAAAAAAGAAAAAAAAAAACACAGTAAAATGAATGGAAAAAAATCCACCTTCCCCCAGTCACTTTAAGGAAGGGAGGACAAAACCAGAAGCAGTGTACAGCTACTTGTCCTAGGGGACTAGAGATGCAATATTGCCCTGTGTATTTCTCTGTAGGGTTATCCTCTCTGGGGAGCACTCCCTTGCCTTATAATGTATGGGATGTGGCTTTCATCAGCAGTGAAGCTCCAGACCAGAGGGTTACAGAGCCAAACTGTGGGCTGGCCTGATGCAATGGTTACAGAGATTAGTTAGGAGACAGGACAGGGAGAGGCATAGATCAAGCCCAGGAGAAGGACAATACTCTGGGGAAACCTCAAATGGGTTTCCAGGCTGCTCTCTTGTGCGGTAAGCCCGGAGACCTCTGGGAAAAGGGGAAAATCCATCTATGCTTCCTGTCCATCAGTACTCCTGCTCCTAAAGGTGTCAATCTCAAGATTCTGTCCTGAGCCTCAGCCCCATAAACGTTGCAGCTGAAAGTTGGGGGTGGGGGAGGGGTATGCCGCTGGTGGCTAAGCAGCGGAAACGGCTGAAGCCACCGTCACGAGGAGGTGTGTCCTGCCGTCTCGCCTCTCTCAGGACAGGCCTGGTGAAGTGGCCTGGAGTTGGCAACGGAGAAGGATGAATTTCCCGAGGGCAACCGAGGCCTCTTGGCACAGCAGCTCCGAGCTAGGGCTCTTAAGAGCTCCAGGTAGGGGCCAAGTAACATCATCGCTGAAGGAAAGGAGGTGGGGGCAAAACACTGCGGAATAGAGGATTCTGCCCATCCCTCTCTCGGACGGTCCCTAAATTCACAGTGGAGCCGCATCACCAAGGATGGGAAAGTAAAGGGTAGACAGGGAGTCAGTACTCGCCTTTCTCCTCAGATTCCAGCTCTGGCTTTGGCTCTGTCGCTGCCACCGGTTCATCTTCAACATGATATCCTCTTGGTACTACCCTCAAGTGTCTGACCTCCGGAGCTCAGAGCTGCGATGTTTTACCATGGCCTTGCCCTCCTCTCAGGGGTGGGATCCAAAAGCCTACCAATCAGAAAGCGGCACGCCGGCACTGACCCCGCCTCACCCTCACATCAGCCACTCAGGAGCCCTGCGGCACCACCCACATCCCTCCCTCCGGCTTGGGAGTCGACGTCGATTTGGACCCGGAAGTGGCTTTTGGTCACGAGGCCCCGTGGAGGAGGTGGGTGAGTCATGCGCGCGCGCGCGGAGGGGAGTGTGGACGGGGGGGAGGGGTGGACGGGGGGCGGGGATGATGCAATGTTTGGCAACCGGTGTCTGCGCGCGCACGCGCAAGAGGACGTCGAGGGTGGTGGGAGGTGCGGGGGGTGGGAGAGAGGAGAGAGGGCGGGGCGCCAGCTCCCAGCACCCAACGGCCCCAACGGCTTTCAACCGTGGCCACCCTTAGACTGAGGCATGGAACCTCATTGCAGCGTCTTCCCCTTAGGAGCTGCTGTTCTGCATTACCCCTGTTTTACCTCCTCCATAAGGAACTCCCATTTTCTCTGGTCCCTCCCCGCTTACGGGCACATAGCCCTTTAAAGTTTGCATTTGTCCACCTGGATTGACACCATCTCGAGTATTTTTACTAGGAACTCTTCAGCCTCCTTGCATTCCCCCAAGGCCGAGATACCGGTATCACCTTGTAGTCCTTTTACACTTCTCTCAGAAGCACCTTTGACTGTTACCTTGTTTCTCATTAGCCTTCTAAAGCCAGAATTTACCGAGTGAACCTGATTGATTTCCTACTTATTGCCCCCCGTCTCTGTGGTGCTCTTCTGTCTTTCACTGTAGACCGAGCTTCTCCGTTTTCACGGTTCCAGTTAGTCCTGTGCCTCCCCCCTGAGGAGCTGGCCTCCTGCCTTCTAGGTATCTGAGGTCATGACCTACAGTAGATCCCGAAGCCTGAAACGTGCACTTGAACGCACGACGGCTGTGGAGTGGCTTGTCAGAAACCCACTCGCTAGCCTCAGTTCCTCAGGAATCCTGCCGTTCTCATTTGCAAATTAAAGGACGAGATGTGAAAATAAAAGATCCAGGAACTCGGAGGCAACTTGAACAAAACTAGAATCACGGTGCAAAATGTTTTTCCTGCGCTGGGAAAACAAGAGGCCATGTGGTGGCCTGTTAGACATCCTGTCAGACCCTCAAGGGGCAGCCAGCGTTGTCTCACTAGAAGCTGTCTCCAAGCGGTATTGACTGGACGGTGCGGCAGTGACAGGTCCTTGGCCAGGCGGCTCCGACGCTCCAGACCTCCATTTCCCTCGGTTAATGGAGGTGGGGGTGGGCTGGACCATCTGGCCTAAAGAAGGACCAGGTTGTCAGTGACAGGCAGAGGTCATGTGACTTGACAGGCCCAGGTCGTGTTGTGACATGTTGACCTGGGGAAGCGGGTCAAGTCCCGGCACACCACCCGGGAAGCCTGCGGGGCGGGGCAGGGCAAGTCGCGACTTTCATCTTTTGGGGCTGGCCCCTCCCGGACCTGGCATTCCTGGCTCCCTCAACAGATTGTGGCTTTGGAAGAGGCCCCTCCCCGGGGAGGCCGGGGATTGGCCACCAGTGGCCTGGGAAGAGGCGCAGATCCTTCCGCGGAGGAAGGGGGGGGGCCGCGTGGGGTGTTTGTTCTCTTGGGGATTAATGGGGGGTTGTGGGGGAGGGGCAGGCGCGCTCCCGCATGCGCACTGCGGCCCCTCCTGTTGGCTCGCTGCTG